GCAGCACGAACATGAGTTTGTGTGAGCAGATGAGGACGAATGAACACGGCAACATGAAATAAATCAGCAGCATGAGCTCAGCATCATGGATAGTATAGGTTTCGTTATGTCTTTAAAGCCCAACATTAAAAAACGCACACAGTCATGATTTGTTCAGTACAACTTGATCCGTTCTATAACATCTAAGATTTCCTCCTGCCTCTGTGTCCTAACCCCCTCTAGTCTGTCTGCTTTGTTCTAGTTAGTACCAATTATACTGTTATACTTGAATACAATGAGAACCATAAAAAGCATTTATTTTTTAATGACCTTTAAAACAATCTGGCAATACTAAATCACTATTTTAAACCTATTTTTCTTTTCAAAATGTTTAAGGAAAACTTCAGTTATTTTTTTCCTGGTACTGCTAGTACATTACAGTCTCTGGGTGCAGCTGCTTAACTGTTTTTGGCTTTTTTTGTTCAACCAAATGATTTCAAATGTTATTAAAAAGAGGTATGTTTTTTAAAGAAATGTGAATCACCCATCACCTCGCATCACCAAAGTTCTTGAATGAAGATGTAACACACTATTTTAAGTTAGGACTTAGTAAATAGTGGGTGGGCCAGTGTGTGTGTGTGTATGTGTGGGGGGGAACTGAGGGTTCTCCCCCAGGAAATTTTGAATAAAATAGATGCAATTTCCTGCATTTTGTTGTATTTTAATGCGCGATATATACGGTACACGGTAGAAACAATAGAAATTTAGCCTACGATATAGATCTGTCTTCTACCGGCTAACTGCAGTAATGCTGTGTCTGATGTAAAATCAGAGTCGTCAGATTTAACCGTTAAGTTTTTTTTAGTTGAAAACTGTGTCAATGGTGTTAAAGTAATTTCTTCAAGAGCTAAGTAGCGAAGCTACAAGCTAACTACACCCGGCTTGCCGTAGTGTTGCTGTATTCGGACGCATGCGCAAAACTCTGTGTTCCGTGGAAAGTTAAAGTAAGCGTTGGTCATCTTTAGAGAAAACTGCTCTCTGAAAAGAACGCTGTGTTGTGTGATTTTACTGCGAGACCCTCTGGTCAAAGCCACAGACTCATTTTATGTCAGCTCTCCATTAAAGCAGAAGGAGGCGCCCACTAGAGGGTTGGAGGGTGAAGTGTTTCAGAGTAAAATGCTGCTCTGTTGATGTTCATTTATTAAGTGAGAAGACTGGAAACTGTTAAGAGTTAACAACATATAGTTTTGTTTAAAACATATGACTAAAACTACATTTGATATATTTTGCACTGTTTTGCACTACAATAAAAGAAGACTAATACTTGATTTGTTTATTATTTAAAAACTCTCTGGACCTAGTAGTGGAATTTTCTTAATTCAAAATA